CTGATCTGACTCGGCCCTTTGTAAATTTTGTCAACGGATGGCTCTACCGAAGTCACGACCACCCTTGTTTAAAACAACAAACGTTAACTGTAATCGCAGTGGGGAAACCTGTCATGAATTTCCCATGGATCCTCAGGTAAGTCAATCCAACATGATGGTCCAGTAAGTTTTGCTTGAATATATGCTTGGATTGCATCAGCGAGTTTCACATCATTCCCGGGTAAACACCCGTAGAAGCTAGCCCCGGGATGCCTCAAAACGTTGCTGGAGAGTTTCCGAGGTCCTGGAAGAATGCGGCCTCCCAGAACTGGTTCTTTACTTGGTTCCCAAAAAGTATACCACGTCGCTTGAACGTGCGGTTCGGATGACCCTTGGGGAGCTGAAAGTTCTTCTCCACACAGATTCCATGAATTCTAGCCATGTGCACCTCTTTCCCGGTCTTCTTTGCTTCGGCTACTACATCATCATATTCTCTCACCACACTGAAATCATAGACTCCCTCAGCATGTTAGCCTGGCCATTCTTTACGCATGGATTGAAGAGCATCATCATTCTCCATCATTTCCTTTCCACCGACAGGTCTAGCTACTGCAGTATTAAACATCTTGTTGATATTGATGCCATTGGTTTCGCCATTCAACTTTTCATGGTGAGCCTCATGTTGGTTGATACATGGCATACATGGGAATGAATGATTACCCACCATACTTTCATTAATCTTCAAAGTGTCGTGTTTAAGAAGATGACATGAAAGCTGCACATGATGAAGTATTGGTATTTCAAGGAAAGTATGGCGTACACAGTACGAGCCCAGCGTCGCTGAGGAAGTAGGTGATGTCGAACCTGATGATGCAGACGAAAATGATGAGGATATCATCGACGCTGATGAAGAAGATAGAGGACCCCGACTGAGCAAGAGAGGAGCATTGAAGAGTGAGGCAACGTCGAGGGAACACCTCCTCACGCACAGGTTCAACAACCCTCAGTATGAGTCATGCGTTCGAGCTGAGATGAAGCACCGGAAGCATTTCGCGGAGCATCCCAGAGGAAGCTCACAAAGGTCGGAGACTTGGTAACCTTTGACTACGTCGACAACCGTCAAGTCTATGAACAGGACTATGGCGCTGAGAAAACCATCTTCGTGATTTGGGACAGGTACACTGGGATGTTCCAGGCGTACCCATCCGCCAGGAAAGACAGCAGCGCCGTTATCTTGGCGGTGAAGCAGTCCATGGGTCGGAGGAAGATCCGAGAAGCTTACTCAGACAAAGCCCCGCAATTGACCGAAGCAATGAAAGCCTTGAAAATCCCAATTGATCAGTCGCTGGCTGGAAAGACGAAGCACAATTCTGCTTGTGGCTACCACCACATGCTTGTTGGAAGCGGGAATTCCACAATGCTTTTGATGTTAGTCATCTACTGAACGTTGAGCCAAATGACCAGGAAATCAGCGCATGGTGCAAGCTTCATGGCGAAGAGTTTAAAGGGAAGATGATTCCTTTTGGAGCATTGGTCTACTTCAAGCCGAGCAGGGCAAGGCACGTGGAACAGAAGCACAAGTTTGATCCCATGGGCATCCCAGGCGTGTTTGCGGGATACGATTTGGCGCCGGGACTACAGTGGTCAAGGAAGTATATTGAGTTTGGGCACTGGCCGATTGGGCAAAGCAGAACCTGTCCTATGACACCAGTGCCCCGGTGCCGAAGTTGAAGACTCCGCACTACACGGAGAAGGTCGAGCTGAAGGAGCCGCTCGAGTTTCCCTGCAAGGCCAGCTATGAGAAGATCAACGTGACCATCGACGGATTGAAGGAGAAGGAGCGTCTGGATGGAAGCCCAGATAATCTCACCATTATGTATACCTCCCGGTGACGACAATGAAGAAAACGATGATGATGATGATGATGATGAAGATGATGATGACGATGATGATGATGATGATCATGATGATGATGATAATGAAGATCCAGGGGGAGGAGATGGAGATGGACCCGGCGGCGGAGGTGGTTCTGCCATCGATGCTGAAATCCGAAGAGACGTTGCAATGGAAGGCGCATTGGAAGCTCCTCGACGGGCGGATTTGCCCCCTCCACCTGGGCTCGAACAGGTTATACATGAGCCAGGTCCCGAGATTGAAATCCCCGAGGACACGCCTGAACACTATCTGAAGGGGAAGGCTGGTAATGGCATTGTATATCCCAACAATGACGGTGAAAGGGTCAAGATTGATAAACGAGGGCGTCCATACTGGATCGATGAGAAAGGGTTCAAGAAGTTCCACAACTCTCTGAGACGTGACAAGTACACTCCGAAAGAATGGCAAAGGATTCCACATGAGAGACGAAAGGAGATCATCAAAGTCCAGGAAATTGAAGACGAGGCCGAAAGGGAAAGACGAAAAGTGGAACATAAGGTCAAGGAAGCAGAAGACAAAGCCTTGGAGAAAGATAAGAAGAAGAAATCAAAGAAATCTTCCGGTTCAAAGGACAAGCCAAAGAAGAAGGACGAAGACCATGATGTTGGAGTATCACTCAAACAGGACCATGTCAAACGGGGCAAAGTCTTCTACTATGAGCAACCCAACGCTTCCTTCGGAAGCACGGGTAGTACAAAAGGTATGGAGTGTGAATCCTCCGACACCGACGTGCCTGGTGATGATGACTTCCCCGTCGAGTGGGATGAGTGGTCGGAGTTCGAGAAAGGGTATGTACCAAAGGCAACCTGGACCAAGGACAATGAATATGACTTTGAATCTGGGAAGGTGGCAACGGCTGCTCCACGGTCATACCAACCGGCATAACAGCCCCTAGAGAGAAGAACGACTGTTGAAACTGAATCCAGTCAACTTCAGTGGGAGAATGCATAGAAGCAGCGCGGGCACCAACTACACGTTTGGCGACAACACTGTCGCAGTTGCCGAAGGTGGGAACCAATCATCACCGGGAACTGGAAACAGTGGGATTGCCATGGAATGGAACAACGTATCTTCCAGAGGCAGAAGCTCAGCGAGCAACAGGTCATCACGGCGGATGTCAAAACGAAGCACTCTTTGACGGACGCACCGAACGACCAGAAGAGCTACTACAAGATCAGGGACCCCTGATGGACCGCACGGCCAGGACTAGGGATACTCCAGGGAAACGGAGAACGGAAGGACCCTGTTCCGGGTTGCTTCTGGTAGCTCTTGGTTCTAATCTGGCGATGTGCTGCCTTGGTAACTTGCCCTACACAAACGACATGCACGAGCTGCGCGACCAGCAGTCTTTTCGCACACGGATGGCAGTCTTGAGCCATCAGTGCAGATGGAAGTTCAGCCTATGACTCATGCACTATTTACCGTTTACATCCCTTTGACATTTAAAATATGTCTCCATAGTATATCTCCAGCTTACCTACAACTGGAGACATAGTATGGAGATATGGAGATATACTGGGTATATCATGGATTATAATCAATTTGTACGCAAGATATCCATTTTAGTAAAATCCAAAGTTATACACCATCCAGTATCTTGGAACCAGCAGCGGATTGTCCTCATAAACTGGGAGTCCCGGCATTTAACCAACAGTATATGAGAATAGCTGGATTAAAAGCTGGGATAGACCTCCCAGTAATGATGATGATTGTATTATGATTATATTATCATCATATGTCTTGTTAGCAAACTTCCCATTAAAGATGCTGGCGCGGTTGTGGTTGTTGTGGTTGTGGTTGTGGTTGTTGTTGTTGTTGTTTTGTTGTTGTTGTTGTTGTTGACAAAATCACCGTATTGGGATCTTGTTCTTCCACTTGCATTGAAACGAACCTTCGCTCCTTATTACCGGGTTGTTGGTTGAAACTTGCTAACTGTTTCGCTGTTGGATTCTTTTTGTGCTTTGGTTCCTCCCGTTCGTACTTGCTGGTCCTCATCTGTTGTTGATCAGAATCCTTCCCTGTTTCAATCTGTATTTCCCCACTGCCATGATCATTGACCTCAGTCAATGTCTTCAGTACCAGGGCTATCTCCCCAAATCCCCGCATTTAGCGACAGTAAGGTATACTTCGCTTTGAAAGAGGCTATGATCTGACTTGCAGACCGCTATCAATTATCACTTGATATAACTAATAATCCACTTACCGTCCATCTAGACCTGTAAAACAATGTAAAGCAACCCAATCCTTCCCCTTACTAAACCACTTCCCAATGTCCTGATTTCAAATCACTTGGATTTGCCTAAACCATCCCCCCAAAGGAACCATAAACACATTCCCTATAGATTCCCCACATGGTGGAATCGGACAAATACACAATCACCTTAAGCAAATCCAAGACAAATTGGATATATCCCCCCCTTTGCGCATGCCAGTGGTAGAAGGTTATCCTAAACACAAAACACTCCAGTTACTCCATACTTTGATGTGCATCCCAACTCCTAGGTCGGTAAGAAACATGGCATATGCCAGTCATAGATATGAACATAACACCAATTTTCTATGGATTATATATGGGTAATGTTCACCATATACATTAGTGTTAGGTTTAGCAATGCTCTAAACCACCCACATATTGATGGTTTATACCATCCATTTGTGGAAACTCGGGGATGGTGGATCCTATTGCTTTGCCATCATTCCCCTCTGGTAAACAAAGAAAAAACTTTGTAAAATCACCATTTTGCTTAGGGAAATCAACGAACTAAATGGTCATTTTCAATAGCTTTTTGTATGTTTACCCGAGGGTTTACCGACCACATTACTAGGGTTTGCCAGAGGATTCAACATGTACCTACAAAGTGATGTCCACTAGTTAGCTAAGTTGGTTTATAACTCCAAAAACTATGGTTCATGATACCTACAACTATGATGGTGGGGTTTATAAACCAACATTCACATCACTGGAAAACCACCTTGTCATTACCAGGTAACTAATGCTTACTATCCCCATATGGATATCCTAATGGGACATGGAAAGTTTACCAAAGGCTCACTGGGATGCCCCAAGGCCGTTGGAGCGTTGGAGCCTCGTGGCATCGCCGGCATCGCCGGCATCGTGTCGGAGGAGCTGGAGATGTTGGAACTGGACCTGTGAAGGGGGAGGGTTTGAAGAAGTTATCATATAGGGTAATATATCCCATAGTAGGGTTATGATAATGGTTATGATAATATTATGGTTATATCATTATAGGGTATCTTATAATTATTATCATAACCATTATAGGGTAACTAATGATTATAATGGTTTTAATAATGGTTATGATCGTGGTTATGATAATGGTGATGATAATGGTTATAATAATCGTAAAAAATGGTTATAATAGTGGTTAGAATAATGGTTATCATGATGATAATATGTTCATTATTATGGTTATATATATATTGGGGTTTCCTGAAATGGGGTGGTACCCCGACATGGATGGTTTATGATGGAATATGAACATGGATGATTTGGGGGTACTCCTATTTTAGGATACCTCCATATCTATAGTTTATAACCCCAATAACTAGGGTTTAATGGTAGATACATCTATAGTTAATGGGTTTATAAAACAAGAAACCAAAAGGCCTATACCCTCCGGTAAACTAACAGTTTGCGAACTGGAAAATCACAATCTTACATAGTTCAATCAACTATTCTCATGGACAATTTTCAATTGCTATGTTAAATTACCAGAGGGTGTAGTCATAGTTTTATATTCCCATCATAGGGAGTTAATATATTATATAGCACAAAATAGGTAAATATATGATAGGTTATACATCCCCATTATTCCCATAATCGTTTTAATGGTTACATATAATGATTGTTATAATGTTGAGCATATCATTCGTATAACTAGGAATATGCTGGGATATTGCGGGAAGGTACAGTGCGAGTTATGGGATATAGTGGGATGTACATCCCATTACATTATATTACATTCCCAGTTACATAATGGGAAGATACTTTAAGTTGTTATATGAGGGTTATGTAGCTGGGAATTCAATGGGATATAGCGGGACTTTGTCTACTGGACTTGATTCCAAATACTGTGGTGCACCCAAAAATCATTGGGGTTTAAAGACCAAGGAAAATCCCCAGCATTAATCAGAAATTAGAATCATAGCAAATATACTCCCAGTTATAGGTGGCATAATCTAACCATATTTTACCATCAAAACTTGGGAGTTTTGACCTTCAAACATTGAAACTTTGGGGAAGTCAAGCGACCAACTCTGGTATCTTCAGGATCACTAGATTTTAGATGCAAAATAGGATATATCCCGGTGGTTCATTATGGTGGTTATATATATATATACGGGGTTTAAGATCTAAAACTGGTCAAACTGGTGGCTTTGAACTATCAGGAAATATCTCAGCGATTGACCAGGACTTTTCGGTTGTGATATGACCACCATTCTTGGAACCAGTGATACATCGGAAGAGTTGAGCAAGAAACCAACCACTACTGCATGGTCTGCCAACAAACAAAGCTATGTGAGACACTCCGAGACCTAATTTCCAACCTTCAAGCTTACAGAGTGCCATGAAAGTTGGCCTTTGTGGCCTGGTATGGGCCTCCATCCCATAAAATGAATGTGCATTTTTAAGCAGAAAATTATTAATTGGGTATGACCCTGCCCTTTGTGGAAAAATAAGCTGCATTTTGACCACGGCATTATCACTATTGATTGCTGGCTGCATCACATGTTTCAGCGCATGGCTAACTTCAGAGACTCAGCAAACAAATCAGACGATTCGTGCTTCCTCCGGCCATTACACAAGAATACATCTATCATCCATCCATCTATCCATCCAACCAAAACGGGGCACACACCAAAATGGGCACGTAATTGAGGAAAAACCTAGGATCATCCTGGAGAATTGGAGGTGCAATTTCAATCAAAGCCATCTTGCTGCTTAAAACAGCACAATTCTTAGAAGAACAGTGTCCGCTGTATCCTACCAGTACCTGTTGACCCAAGAGTGAAACCAAACTGAGTCAAAGGAAAGCGAAATCTTCTGTCCTTTATCGGCGTTGTCGGGCAACACCGCGGTCTCCATGTGTCGGTCTCTCAATGCGACGGCTTCTGGAACTGCCGTCCCGCCCAGTGCCAGTATCGAATACTCCCCGGCAGTGTCGGCATCAGCGACATAACCATGCAGGGGCCTTGTCCTTCACTACTAGCGCCCTGGTCTCAGCTCCCGCCTTGGAGAACAAACCTTGCGGAAAGCCTCGTAGACAGCAATCTTTTGCCTCAGACAATGGGGTAGACCCCTTAAAAACGGCAAATGATAACAAAGCATGGAATTGGGGAAAACCACATCCATCCATCAAAATTACACTGTCCATCTTTCTTGGCGGCCCTAGCCATGGCATGAAAGTCCATTGGTATGCATTCTTTGGTTTGGTGATCCTGCAGTGATGAAGAGTTGGTTTGGGCAAGATGCATGCAGAGGATTATCTGTGATACTTTGCAGACCATAATACTCATCTGGATACTCGTGTGTGGAAACATATGAAGATATGGAACTGCCCGACCAACCTTGTTTATCCAGCAAACTATCTGGAATATGTTGGAATATATCGAGTAAATTGCATTTTACCAGGTTTGGTTGGTGATGTTCCCGGTTTTGTCAAGCAATGGAATTTGCTGGTTGGCATAAAACCAATTACTGTATTCGACCAATCATCCGATTTTGGGTTGGTTTACCTTGGCAGTTTATTCAAACTTCTCATTCGGTTGATTAAAACCCCAGCAAGTGTTGGGCACTGAAAATGCAAAACATTCGTTACATATTCCAGGATACAATATATATCCCATGATATCCCTCCATCTCCCATGTTAGTAAGTCCCCGTTTGCCACATCGACAGCAAAAGCTGGCTCTTGGCGGACATCTGGGTCCCTGTCGCGCTTCTTGCGGTCAGGGTCTGCGAGAATGGGCGCAGCCGATCACTGCTTTTTCTTGTCATCAAGGCAGATTGACCTGGTCCAGTTTTTCCCTCATTCCACAGAAAACGGCTCCACTGTTGGGCCTGCACCGTTCTGAACGGTGGCCTGATCCAGTGGCCAGGACAAAGATCTCGGCAGCTCTTTGACTTCGGAGTAGTGCACGAACGAGTGACCTTGATTTCGCTGTTGTGACCTTACAATGTGAGGCCCCCAAGCTAGCTAAGTTGGTGCAAATAACTCCAATAACTATGGTTTATGGTACGCAAATAACTATAGTTACTGGGGCTTATAAACCAACTTATAACTGGGGGGCCTCACATTGTAGGTGGCTCCACCGTCCTGCAGGCACATTTTCCAGCTCTGCTCATCCTTTTGTGTGTGCCACACAGAACTCGCGAGGTGATAGGGGGAAGCGCCTGGCGGCCTCAAGTCTCACTGCTGGGACTGCGTCAGTGCCGTGTGCCCCAGTTGGGGTAATAACTACTTGATTGTTCACCCCAGGAATCGTATGTGGGGTACAACCCAGTTATAATTGGATTAAGCCTACTTATCGCTCTTACAACTGGGGTTACAACCCACTTATGATCTCTGGGATGAGCCACTAAGTATGGTTACTAATCCCCATCCCCGGTTCACATTCCCATTGCATGGTCCGAAATGTGTTGTTCTATCCCCTACATCCACCATGGTTTCGCTATTGGTGATTCATTCATATTAGAGGGATGATATTATTCATCCAATAAATCATCTGTTGCCACTATTCACCAATATTCCAATAACACCATGGCTGGAGGGGATATAATCAACTATAGTGATTTATCAACTATATTTTTACTAACTATAATAAAATTATGGTTGTATCTTGGTAACCATTGTAGTTAGAACTACTGTGGATGGTTGCGAAATCCTGCACCAGTTGGTAGATGGTTTATCCCCCCAAAAAATACATTTAGTACAGTGTTTCATAGTTCCCTATCGGTTGCCAAGTGGTGCAGGATTTCTTCCATCCACTATAAACTGACTTCTGAAAATGAGGTATATCCCACTACTTGGGGGTGCATCCCAGGCATTTTCCTATGAAATATGGCTGTGTCCTGTAATTGTTCCCTCAAACCAATCCATTGCCCAATCATATTAAATCCCAATTATTGTTGATGGTTAAATTCCCATGAAATCCCATTAAATAGGATATCCATATGGAGATAGTAAACATTAGTTACCAGGGGTAACTACAATGTGGGGCCCCACAGTTATAAGTTGGTTTACCAGCCCCATGAACTAGTTCTTTATAAGATGTTATAAGTATAATAAAACACAGTTGTTGGAGTTATAAGCCAACTTAGCTATCTAAGGGGCCCCACATTATACCATGGGGATATCATCAGTTCCTAACTGCCATGCACCCGGCGCCAAGGCACGCCACATTCGAAGACACCGAAGAAACCGAAGAAACGTCGCTGTGGCGGCGAGGCAAATCTGCGGACGAGGCAAAAAACGTGGCGATATTTGAAGGGAATGATCCATGAACCATGGGGAATGGCGATTCATTAGTTATAACTGGTTATTTCTATGGGATTATACATTCTATAAATGGGGTTTTGTTATAGTACTTATAACTGGTAAAGGGCCAAACATGTATGGGGAATGGTGAAGTAGTGCATTAGAATCCATTAGTTTATTAAACAAATCCCTTCTTTGTCCAAAGGCTGCTTCCAGACGTGGGTCCAACTTGGATGGGTTTTGGACACCCCGTAACTGCGGGGTGGTGGGAGAAACTAACAAAAACATACCTGGACTAATTAATTTTGAACTAATCCAGGATAGTTCCAGTTCGAAAGTTAGTCCATAAAGTCAAGCAGTTCGTGGATTAGTTCTTAAAAATCGCTAACGCATACATTCAGGAACAATCCAGAAACGCATTAATGTTGTAGACAACTGCGATACCATTAAAACATCAGAGAACAGCATATTATTGCCGCCTGCATGTGCATTCTGGTTTCAGCGATTCTCTCTCTCTCTCTCTCTTATTCCCCACCTGCCAGGTGAGGGTTGTTAGATTTTATGTCAGTTGCCTCCTCCTCCTCCTGCTTCTCCTGCTCCTCCTCCTCCTCCTGCTCCTCCTCCTCCGCCTCCTCCTGCCTCGTCCTCCTCCTCCTCGTCCTCCTTGTCATCCTTGTCGTCCTTGCTCAACTGCGACCCGCGATCCACAGTGTTCGCTGCCGGACCTCAACCACGACCACCCACGCCCAGTGTTCCCTGCCGGACCTCAACCACGACCATCCACGCCCAGTGTTCCCTGCCGGACCTCAACCACGACCAGCCACGCCCAGTGTTCCCTGCCGGACCTCAACCACGACCAGCCACGCCCAGTGTTCCCTGCCGGACCTCAACCGCGAGTATCCACGCCAAGTGTTCCCTGCCGGACCTCAACCGCGCCCAGTATCCACGCCAAAAGATATGCCACATAGAGTGCCAGAAGATATGCCAGATAGAATGTTAGAAGATATGCCAGATAGAATGCCAGAAGGTATGCCAGATAGAATGCCAGATAGAATGCCAGATAGAATGTCAGATAGAATGCCAGAAGATATGCCAGATAAAGTGCCAGAATGTTTGCCAGATAGAATGCCAGCAGATTTGCCAGATAATATGCCAGAAGATATGCCAGATACTATGCCAGAAGATATGCCAGATAGAATGCCAGATGGAATGCCAGAAGATATGCCAGAACATATGCCAGAAGATATGCCAGAACATCTGCCAGAAGATATGCCAGAACATCTGCCAGAAGATATGCCAGGTAGAATGCCAGAAGATATGCCAGATAGAATGTCAGATCGAATGCCAGAAAATATGTCAGATAGAATGCCAGAAGATTTGCCAGTAACAAAATATATAAATGTCATGGTGGGGATCACACGAAGTAAAGTAATTTTTTTGTGCCACCACTTTTGAAAAGTTACTTTCCGTTACATGTTTGTTGCCCCGCCACTTTGTATGAAAGGAAGAACTGGGCTGCAATATCAAAGTGATCATCAGAGTTCCCATGAAATCAGGCTCATTGGACATGACCTTTACTCCCAACAACAATTGCGTTGGTTGCCTCAATGTATTCATTGGCTACACGGCTACAACTCAAACATGGGTAACATTGTGTCAACTTGAGCCTTCAACGGTCCGGTTTCTCAATTTGATGAGAAAACCCCATTTCACTTAACCACAAACTGGGTTGGCGACTGTGTTTGGAAATTGCATCTTAAATGCAGTTCTCATCTTAAAATCACTGTCTTTATTCATTTGTGATGGTTGAATCAAATTCCATGTTGACTCTTTAAGTCCCAATAGTTCTTGCTTAAATCAGACATTTTGTTGAATAAATCCCAAGTTTCAAATACCCTCTGGTAAACGTTTACATAACTCTGGAAAGATCCACGACTCTTAATGGGAAAAATCAATTATTTCTATGGCCATTTTCAATAGCTTTTTGTGTGTTTACCAGAGGGTATCTGAATCCCCCATATGGGTATGGGTCAAAATTAGGTACCCCAACAATTGGATGGTTAATACTAAGCTAGACTTTCACATCTGTGGTCCCCTAGGTCTTCCATTTTGACCCACATCCATATTGAGTGCCAAAATCCTGGTATGGCAGTGTGTCAAAACCTTGTACCCCTGGTGAACCCCAAAATAGCTGGTAAATGGATGTTCATCCCACTCAAAAAGGTATTAATAGGTATTGACCCATCCCCATATTGAAAGGCTCAAGCCCGGTATTATCACTGTCCCAGTGCCTGTCGAGGCAGCCATATTTTGTTTGATCTGTGGCAGCTCATCAGAAACCTTGGAAGGATCATGCAAGGTAGTTTAGAAAATAGGTACCATGGATTATAGTGGATTATAATGGGTTAGTGTGGATTATTATGGGTTATAATGGATTAGTATGGACTGTTATGGAGAATCATTGATTGTCAAGTATGGATTATAATGGATTAGTGTGGATTATAATGGGTTTTTAATCGATTATCAATCATGGATTATCATGGTTTATCATTCAGCTTCGGAACCACAGCCCAATTTTGACACCACCATGGCAAAGCCCAATAATTGCCAATAACTATGCTCCAACCCATGTTTCGAAAAACTGCATGGATATGCTCCTCCAATGATCATGTATTTGTGAAAACTGAGATTTTCTATGACTTTCCCCAGCATTTCAAGTTTTTGGTGATGATTCAGGTACTTTTCTCTGGTACACAGTTTGTAATTGAATATGCATATGAACAGTGGGATATAGTACATACAGGATTTGGATATTGTATCAATATGAACTAAGTAATCTGGGGATATCCCACTCTAGTTTTCGTTTGCGTATGAACGGTGGGATGTACCGACGCCGGAACCTTGTGACCAGGGTAACCACTAACCAGTTCCCGGAATCGACGGTCATCGGTTCGGCCCGGGCTGGATCCCTCTGGTCATTTCCGCCATAGCGAAAAGGAAAATCATAAACTGGCTGGTGGTATACCTACCCTTCTGAAAAATATGATTGAAAGTCAGTTGGGATTATGATTCATTCCCAACTGAATGGAAAAATAAAAAATGTTCAGAACCACCAACCAGTGAATCATCAAACTGAATGGGCCATGTTCACCAGAGGATATGTGGTAAACCCATCGTACTCAAAACAAAGACTCACCATCTCTGGATGGTTACAATCCAGCCATGTCATCCCAAGTGTTGGCCATGGCAATGAACTTCCTATGGGTGCAAGTCCGTTGCACTGGCTGGGTCATAGGGATTCCCATAATCGATAGCAGTAAACCCTTTATATACTAAATATCTAAATGTAAGTGCAAGAGAGTAGCATGAGTAGCATGACTCTTAAAGTGGTAGACTATTAAATTGGTTAAAAAGATGCTTCAGTCCCTACAAGAGCTTGTGACACCCCCTTAAGAAAAAACAACATACACGATCACTAAGCCCTGAAAACACTCCCCCAGCTATAAATTGGTGAGCTATAGATGCATCGATCATGAGTCCCAATTCGCCTACTAGACTAAACCAACTTGCTTGTTGTCACTTACCCTCTGGTAAACTAACATAACTATGGAAAATCACCATTTTTAATAGGGAAAATCCACTATAAATGGCAATTTTCCATAGCTATTTTGACATAACCAGAGGGTAAACCAACTTGCTTGTTATCAATTATACGTCTCCATTGTTTGTTGGTGAAGTCCACATGTTTGGCAAATCAATCCACGGCTACCCGGCCTGGTTATTCAACATAGCTATGGTAAAGATGGTCCATTTATGGATGATAAAAATGATGATTTACCTACTAAAAAATGTGTTTTTCCATGGCTACGTTAAATAACCAGAGTCTAATTTCCCATTGTAAAAAACAATGGCAGATGATATCCCACCTCTGGTGAATTTTTTCTCGGTTCTTTGCGGGCCGCCCCGCCTCCGTCGTCCCAAGTAGTATTGGGAGGGCATTGCCAGGGCATTGCTCATTTATAACTTGCATTAGAGTTGTATCCCGATATGCTTGATGATTAGAAACATGTTAAACCATCAGTACCCTCCGGAAATCAAACGTGGCACTATACTAGTCGGTTGATAGGTTCCCCATCCTTTTCCTACGGCTTAGTTGTAATCCCCACCCAGTAGAAGTCCCTCTTTCATAACCAATCAACAATCATTTATCAATGATATCACCATGAAATTTCCTTATATTTCAATTTTTGGTGGTTAAATCCCAATTAAATCACAAAATAACCAATGAACTAGTTGCTATTTGGGGCATTGCTCGTGGTGCATCTCCCAACCCCGCGACTTTAGGTTCGGCACCGCACGGCGTCGGAAGAAGGTGGGCTCTCCCGGAAGCGATGGCTCGCTTTCGGTCGCCTGGGGAGCCATGGGCAAAGCCAGGTGATTTTCCCATCAAAACATACTGTGGATGGGCTAGCGAAACCCGTGTGTCACCAGTTGATAGATGGTAAACATCCCATTACCTTTAACTATAGTTGGTAGTTATGAAAACCATAGTTGAACTGGTATTTGGGGCCATGTTCCAAACCACCAACCAGATCATCATTCACCATCACTAACCAACCAGGCTACACTTGATAGTTATTTAAACCATAGTTGATGAAGGTTAACATTTATAGGGTTTAACCAGTTATTTACAACTGCTGAATTTTATGGGATTATACATTCCATTAATATTAACCATAATTATTTACAGAGTTTCAACCATCCACGGTATCAAAACCATCACCCATTTTCCCCCCTTTTGCCTCATCAAGATCCAACTCTGCAGGCCGTCTGCCACGAAACGTGCTGTACCACGTTTCGGGCCTCGATGTGCCAGGAAATGGTGTCGCTTAGGAAACGTGGTATTACCGAACAACGTTGCGGATACCCTTTGGTAATTTAACATAGCTATGGAAAAATGGCCCATGTGTAGTTGATTTACGTATACTAAACATGGTGGATCTTTCCATAGTTATCTGGTTGGTGGTTGAGCCCTACCCCCCTGAAAAATGATGGAGTTCGTCAGATTGGATCATCATCCCCAATCTGGTTGGGGAAAATATTAAAATTCATGTTCCAAACCACCAAGCAGTGGGGATTGGCAACGCGACATCCTGGATTTAAACTTCAGAAGAATCATCAAGGATTGGTATTCAACCAGCATCAATGATGACTTGAATGATTCAACAAAGAAAGGAACCTTTATGAACAGAAAGAGGTGTCAACAACAGAATGTTGGGATGTCAGAGCACAAAGGGTGAGTGCTACCCAGAATCACGTCTAGGTGGGGTACTTGGATCGTAAATAAATATCGTAGAACCCAAGGAAAATAGGCTTAATAACAATCATTCCGAATGTTTCAGTTGGCAATTCAGTGAGTGATGATCACATTTTGCAGACATTTTCCATAGAATAACCAACAGGGATCGGAGATTTACTATCCAAGTCTGTTTTCCACAAGAACTGCTTGCTGAGTGGAAGATGTTTGTCATACTACAAAGCAACACGTTTGAATATATATATATATATATATATATATATATATGTATGGATTCCCAACAAATGCCAAAATCTGATTGAAAACCACATTGTTTTACCATTTTTTCACCGGTCACGCATCGAGCGAAGGCCCTTCGTGATTTGTTTTGTTTTGAGTCTTGGTTAATATTAAATCAAACCACCAGTTGCAATATCACACCATCAGTGTTTATATCAATTTAGTGCTAGTTTTTTAACGCTTTCCCCATCGTATCGGCTATCAACCAATCCCCAATAATTTAGGTATATACCCTCTATATATAAAGCACTAATCACCACTAACCATCCTTAACTAAGGTCATGAACTTCATCATTAATCACCATCGAACATCAATAACCAACAAGATCCCTAGTTGATTAACCATGAATCTGGGCAAATTACAATAATTCACTAGCCTGAATTAAGGCCATTTGGGGATGATATCCCTTACTAACCATGATTCCAGTGAGGGAGAAAGAACAGTGAGGTCGTTATAATTTACCCAGATGAATCACCATTAATCACCATTAATCACCAAAGAATTGAACCATTCATCATCTCACTGGCCACTTCAGGTACCGATTGATTGGAGGTACCGATTCCATATATAAGGCCTATGTAAGGCCTATGTAAGGGAATATCCCCGCAAAATATGGCCTTATATGGTACAGAACCTCCATTTTAGGATCCTGTTTTATTCCCAGTCAGTTGGGATGATTATTCCCAATAGATGGAAAAATAATCCACATGTTCCAAAGAACCATTCATCATCATTCACCATCACTAACCAACCAGGCTATGACTTCTGGGGCTCACACTTCGATCCGGCGCCTCATGGCGCGATTTTGAAAGATCCGCTGGGCGATCCAAGTCTCAAGTATAACGGGTCCATTTAAAGACATTTAATGAGATTTCATGGGGTTTAATGTTTTTTTTTTTTAAATGAGGTTTAATGGATCATTAATATCCCATGGTAAACTTTTAGACTTTGCGAACTGGAAAAAACCGCCATCGACTTTTCATTAGGGTGAATCATCGAACTGGGCGGGCACTCTTCCATATCTCTGTCAGCTACTGGCCGACGAAAATCAACAAATCATTGTCCCATAACTATGGGAAAACACCATTTTTAATGGGTAAATCAACTATAAATGGTAAGTATTGCCATAGCAGCCAATAATGTCCTCTTGGTAAAAATAAAAGTTTGGGCCGGGAGCTGGTTAATCTCATTTATCATCATAGCAAACTGTTGTTAAAATGGAGGTACTGTACCATATTCCAGGCTATATTTTGTGGGGATATTCCCTTACATAGGCCTTGTATATGGGTTAAAGGGCTTTCTTCAAACCCTTCTTTTTTCATCAACCAATGGGAAAAGGTCATCCAGTGACGTCATACTGAGGTCATTACAGTTCCATCCAGAGTATTCTCGGTTACCCTCTGGTTTTGTCAAAATAGCTATTGAAAATGGCCATGTATAGTGAGTTTTCCCAGAAAAATGGTGATTTTCCATAGTTTTTTGCATGTTTACCAGAGGGTAACAGCTCAGATGAGCAGTGTTCGAACCCTTTTTTTTGTCCCTTTATGCTGCTTGGTGCATCAGCTTTCCCTCTTCATGGACTGTGATATTCTCCATGATATTGCTTAGCATGCTACCCGAACTAATCATCAATCATCATGTTGATGCTTTAAAATCGAAAATAGTGGTTCAATCCCCATTTTGATCATCAACCAACCGGCTTTTAACTACCCTCTGGTAAACCAACATGACTATGGAACATCACCATTCTTTGGTATTTTTAATGGGTAATCAACAAACTAAATGACAATTTTCAATAGCCATGTGAAATTACCAGAGGGCACAAAGACAATCATGATGACTTTTCCATTGCAGCCACCGTACCTTCAGGTCCTTCCGGTGATGTAGCCCCTTTGGAGACCTTGAGACGTTGTGGTGGAATGTCAAGGGCAACAAAAAAGTGGTGATTAATGGTGATTAATGGTTCATTAACTAGGGCTATTGTTGGTTATTGATGGTTAATTCTTGGTCCCTATGGATCCAGCCGTACCTTCTCAGGGAGTGTGACTGGGGTATGATTTGAGGGGTTAGCCGTACCTTCTCAGGAGATGTTTGGATCCATAGGATTAAGATAGGAAGAGCTTTGGGTGTGGATGAGGCATACCCCAAATGGGGATGTAGTGGGGATACATAGATCGACATAACAATATGTAACTGTAATGGATTTTACAGAAATGAGGGAGATAACCAACAATGTGAAATATGGCTGTGTCTGATGCGGGGGCCCCGAAGATTGCCATTGAATGGGATGGTTAACTGGAATGTGAATATTACCACATTTTCAAATTTATCACAAATATTTAGATTGTTTCAAGATATGAGCTGCAAACAGTGGGATTTTTCTGGCGCAAGTCAAGAAGTGTGGGAATCTTTGGAGAAATGGATAGAAATTGTGAAAGCCATGTTAATACATATTCATCATCATTCACCTATTGATTGTGAAACATGAGGGTGTCCCTCTGGAGACGGGACATATAACCAATGATTCGTCCTAGCTTCCCTGCCCAGGGCCCCAGTAACCTTTCCAGTGATCATTCCAAGGTTCATACCCATGCTTCTCCGGGTCGACAGGAGATGGAGGAGCAGATCCTTTCCAAATACTCCTTGTACTTGTCATCAGCTGGCCACTTGTCCAAGGAGAGGTCAGCATCTCCCAGCCAGCGACGGAAGTTCGGAACCGGCAGCCCTGCAGCTCCCGTGCTGCCCTGGGAGGACTCTGCCGTGCTATCGCCTCGCAACGCACTTCGTAAGGAGCCAAGTTCTCCAAGGCCGCCTTTGTCACCTCGGAACACATACTTTTGACAGCTTCTATACAGGCCGTGCTGCCAGCAGCTGCCGCGGTCGTGCTGCCCTGGGAGGACCCTGCGGTCCTCCGCATGCTTTGCATTGTTCGAGCAACCAAATCTTGCTCCAAATTTCTTGCCTCGCATTCCCGGAGGACATAGTTTCAGTGATCACGTTGTTCTACCAGGAAGTCGGCAAAGGAGCGGCAAATTTCCACGAAAGGGTCGCTTGCCATTGCGACTCTGCGGAGGGCAGACAAGCCAGTCTTGTTCTTGCTGGTCAAAACATCCTAACCATCAAAATGTTTTCTACTAGAAACCATTTGTTAGGTTAAACCCCTGTTAACGATAGATAATGAGATATCTACTAGAAACCATAGTTTTCATCGCCCAAAATGCGCTCAAATTCCCGTCTCCATCTGCCCCAGGCCTTGGAAACTGTCACCCCATTCAACCAAAAAGGGCTAAACATCTAGATGTGGGGCTTTCCCAAGTCATGCGGGTACCCCTAAAATCATCCAAGTGATTTATGACCATACCTTAGTATTGAACCCCCTAGTGTTTTGGGGTACCCTGACTTAGGAAACCTCTATTTTCCATATCTATGGAAAATGGACTATGTACAGACAATCCGAAAACATCCTCAAACAATCAATGGTGATTTTCCACAGCAAACTTTCACCAAATGTCAAAAGGCAAACCTTCAAAACCGAGAAACCGCTGACACAGGGGTGGCGGTCGGCGAACTGCTCCGCGAACGGAACGCAGGGTCAATGGTTTCAGCGTTCCTCGTGGCACCACCAGATAGTTGGACAAACACATGTCCAGCAAAATAGTAAGAGCTAACAGTTACCATGACTTTTTCTATCTGTTTTGGGGCTACTATAACCAATCAAAATGGGTATATTGCTGGGTACACTGCTAGGTAGATGAGACATACCCTCAATAGATCTCGGTTGCGACTTCCCAGGCATTGTGGCTTCAGGGATCCCAATTTTCATGTCGTTGGGAATTCCAATTGAAATGGGATTGCCCATGAATCCTTGCAATTGTCATGGGTAGATGCTGCGTTCATGATTTAAACTAGAGTTAACTGACTGCGCGCGGAACTTGTCCTGCTATTTCTTGCGGGCCGCATAAAATGACATGTTTCTGGTTGGATGTGAAGTTAAATGATTGCGAACTTACCATAACTTAACTGTCCCATAACTATGGAAAATAACAATTTTTAATGGGTAAATCAACTATTTCTATGGCCATTTTCAATAGCAAACTGTTAGTTTACCAGAGGGACATCACTCTTCTGCCTATTTGTGTCGCATAAAGTTTACTGCAGATCCAAACCCTGGTAAAGGATTGCTCATCCCCGCAATGGTACCATAGGTTTTGACATTGGCCCCACAGCTACTTAGAAAGGGGTGGTTGGCCAAGGCCAATCTTAGATACTCTGCAAAAATCTGTATTTCTTTCAGCAATGGATGGACATATCTTTTTGTATAGCCATGTATGGCAAGATATTAAAGCATCAAACTCTCCCAAGTTTGATCCAGATTCCCCCAGTGCTGATGATCAAGTTCCCATTGGTGATGCTGAAATCCCCACAAAAATATCTCCACAGAAGTTCCCTTTAGATCCTAGTATAAACTTATATCCTGATCTTTGAAGAGTTAACCCCACATTCATGGTCAATCTCAGATATCTGTCAACAAAAACTCATTTTTAGTCTTTTTTAGGTCTTCAGTGTATTTTACCAATGATAGCAACATAGATTAAGACGTACTAGTTAGGTATCTAATCAAGGTTGACCCAGTATCGTCTTGGTTAAACCTTCATTTTTTGGGTGGCACGCCATATCTAACCTTTGCCAAGGCGTCACAATCTGGCCCGGCAGGGCCGGCAGGCTGAGGCCGCCAGCATCACCTGCAGGTGCTCACCGGTGCTCGACCCGACCGCGCGGAAGTGCCTTTAGTTCAGTGGGTTCAGTGAGACCTATAGTAGATGCAGGTTGGTGGTTGAGCCTACCCCTCGGAAAAATATGAAAGTCAATTGGGATCATTATTCCCAAAAAAAGGAAAATACGAAATGTTCCGAACCACCAGACCAGGCAGATATATCGAACTAGTTAACACCTCCCAAACGTAGATAGATTTATCGATCCAGTGAGATATTAGATATAACGATAGATAGATATATGATATATGGGTGAAACTAAACCAACTTATAACTGGGGTGGACCACGTTGTATTCTTGTGTGGAAATGATGAAAATCACAGAACTAGATAACAAAGTTCTGCAACTCCAATATATCAAAAATATGTATACCTGGATCTTCCAGGTATGCGTTTTTTTTTGATTTTTTTACTAAAAGGCAAAAAAATCTGCCCGATTTCTTCAGAATCGCCTTTTGTCTTCAGAATCGCCTGTCGGAAAATCATGAAACCGAAACTGCCCTAACCAAATTATTCCACTAGACATGCTTTGATTTACCCAAATTACCTAAATACAGTTTCATATATGTCTTGGTTTGCCCAAACTTTCCCACCAAATTTCTTGGTTTAAGTCGTTTAAGTTTAACCAATAATTACCCCAACATTTTTTTTGCTTGTACAAACTATCCCAATGCATTTCTTGGTTTAGCCAAGCTATCCCAGTAAAGTTTTATTTTACCCAAACTATTTCATGTGCCTATCCTCAGCTGTCACACACCCGCTTGTTGCAATTGCAAGAGTTTGCTCTGGCATAAACATGTTTGAATTTGGCCTTGGATGGGCTTCAACTGGAAAATGCTCCGGCCCCAATGGGAAATAATGTATAAAACACGTTGGTCGCGTAAAGTCGCCTTTGCGTCGCGAAAAGTCCTATCTATCTATCTGTCTATCTGTGGTGCAGTGTCATTCAGTGTTTTGTAGTGTAGTGCAATGTAGTGTAGTGTAGTGGAGTGTAGTGGAATGTAGTGTAGTGTAGTGTAGTGTACTTTCGTGTAGTGGAGTGTAGTTGTGTAGTCGTAGTTGTAGTGTAGTGGAGTGTAGTGTAGTGTAATGTAGTAAAGTGTAGTGGAAGGTAGTGCAGTGTAGTGTAATGTAGTGTAGTGGAGTGTAGTGTAGTGTAATGTAGTGTAGTGTAATTTAGTGTAGTGGAGTGTAGTGGAGTGTATTGTAATGGAGTGTAGTTGTGTAGTTGTAGTTGTAGTTGTAGTGTAGTGGAGTGTAGTGTAATGTAGTGAAGTGTAGTGGAAGGTAGTGCTGTGTAGTGTAATGTAGTGTAGTGTAGTGGAGTGTAGTGTAGTGTAATGTAGTGTAGTGTAATTTAGTGTAGTGGAGTGTAGTGGAGTGTAGTGGAGTGTAGTTGTGTAGTTGTAGTTGTAGTGTTGTGTAATGTAGTGTAGTGTAGTGGAGCGTAGTGTAGTGGAGCGTAGCGTAGTGGAGTGTAGTGTAGTGTAATGTAGTGTAGTGAAGCGAAGCTACATCTGAACCTCCAAAAATGGTCCGAACCCCTGGTCTTTTTAACATTTTGACTTCGAAATGTGCTTCGCGCCACAACGGCGTGCACTTTTTCGACATCCGAACCTCCAAAAGTGGTCCGAACCCCTGGTGTTTTTAACATTTTGACTTGGAAATGTGCTTCGCGCCACAACGGCGTGCACTTTTTCAACATCCGAACCTCCAAAAGTGGCGCGAACATGTGATGTTTTGTACATTTTGACTTGGAAATGTGCTTCGCGCCACAACGGCGTGCACTTTTTCAACATCCGAACCTCCAAAAGTGGCGCGAACATGTGGTGTTTTGTACATTTTGACTTGGCAACGTGCTTCACGCCACAACAGCGTGCACTTTTTCAACATCCAAACCTCCAAAAGTGGCGCGAACATGTGGTGTTTTGTACATTTTGAGTTGGAAATGTGCTTCGCCCCACAACGGCGTGCACTTTTTCGACATCTCAACTTCCAAAAGTGGTCCGAACCTGGTGTGTTTTGTACATTTTGACTTGGAAATGTGCTTCGCGCCACAACGGCGTGCAATTTTTCATCGCTCCTGTGGCCAGCTGGGTCCGCACCCGCCGCTTTAGCGAGCCTACTTTTCGATCCTCCGGAGCCACAAATCATTGGAAAAACACAGTGTTTCGCGACTTTCCTACCTTTCGCGCATCTGCATCTTCTGTCCTCTTACTCTTTCTCTTCTGATCTTCTCTTTTCTAATCTTCCTCTTCTCTCTGCCTCTGCCCTGCTCTGCTTTTCATCTGTCCATATTGTCGGAAGTTTGACTTCTAAACTTCCTTCGATAATGTGTTCAAGCTAGGGGGTTTCAATCATTCGTTACCTCTTAATCCCTTACTTTAAGGTGTTTAGCCCCAACCATTGCCGATTTAATATGTTTTGCGGATGAGCTGCAAGTATTAGTTACTAGCCTCACTTGTTGCTACACCCACGTTTGATGACATCGCGAGCCGAACGGTTGCGATGACATCAGACATGTCACCAGACGTTTGTGTCTCATGTTCTCATCGATCGGCAACAGAATTTGCCTGTAATTCTGGAACTAGCGGATATTTTGTTTGGGATATCCAGTGGATATAAGTGATGACAGGTGCTTCATCCGCCCCCATGAATGTATTATATAATTGAACTGAATATTATCTAGATTTCAATCGGTACCATGTTTTAATTTAACATTGCTATGGTTCACATGGCCAGTTTATGGATGATTTTCCCATTCGAAGCTCCATTTGTAGGGTATTTCCCGGCCAGCCATGTCTAATTAAATAATGGTAGTCATGAAACTTGCCATCCTTGGATCTTGGGAAAGAAACAAAGGATCTATCAGCCACAGATGTTGGCAAACGAAAATGGAAGACGATTCGGCTTTTTGGTGTGGCCTCTTTTTTTTGACTTCCATGGCCAAAAAACAACCAGATACTGAATGGATAGCAACAATCCAGAAAGTGCTTCAAGAGGAGAAATAGATCAACCCCATTTCTTTCACTATGTCGAGCGTCGGTTGGTGAATTTGCCACTATGCAGGCTCAGCTGATACAGATTGATTTGTTGTACTAAGATTTGAGATGATAACCCCTGAGGAGCCAAAATAGCCCGTTCAAATTCCACCCTGGTTTGCATTCGCATGTGTTCAGCTTGGGGTCCCATGTGCGGGGTCTATACCAATGCGGATGGAATGACCATGAAGTAGTGAATTCACCGAGCAGCGTATAGATGGTGTATGAAGAAACAGACTTAACAAGCCAGTGATACTTTGTTCCAACTAATTACCCTCTGGTAAACTAACAATAACTAACATAACTATGAAAAATCATTTTTTTTTTTTAATGGGTAAACTCACTATAAATGGTTCAATAGCTTCTTGTATGTTTACCAGAGGGTAGTCCAAGTCTCCATTTGTTGGTGAAGCCTCCACATCTTCCGGTAAACCTACTGGGCTGCAGCCATGCCTCAGCGCCGGCGCGTGGTTCTCGCATCGAGCAATGAGCTCAAGGTGGGCCATGTAGCAAGCGTAGCAAGTGGGTTGGGAAGGTGCCTGTTGGGAAGGTTCACACCAGTAATCCCATCCCCTTTAAATGAAACACCCCCTAAATATGGTCCCAATTATGTGGGGGTTCCTACTGGTTTCAAAGATCTAAGGAGTTGTTAAGTATAGGGCGAAGGGGTGAATGTTTGAAAAGCAATACTAAATCATCCCAAAAATCACATTTTTTATGGGAGGGCCATTTATTTAGGGATTTTTTTTTAGTTTAGGGATTTTTTTTTGGATTTCTTCCTGCTTACTCTATTGCCTCCTGCAGTGCTTCTCTGCTTCTTTGCTTCTATTCCTTTTTTTGCTTTTCTTGCTTTTCTTTGCTTTTTTTGCTTTTTTGCTTCCCTTGCTTTTCTTTGCTTTTTTGCTTTTTTGCTTTTCTCGCTTTTCTGCTTTTCTTTGCTTTTTTGCTTTTCTTGCTTTTCTTTGCTTTTTTGCTTTCCTTGCTTTTCTTTGCTTTTTTGCTTTTCTCGCTTTTCTGCTTTTCTTTGCTTTTTTGCGTTTCTTGCTTTTCTTTGCTTTTTTGCTTTTCCATGAGGTGTGGAGCAACATCTTCTCTTGGTTCCAAGCAGATGGGCACGCTGCAACACAAACACAACCGCCAGCAACAACACCAACACCACCACCACCACCACCACCACCAACAACAACAACAACAACACTAACACAACACTAACAACACTAACAACACTAACAACACTAACAACACTAACAACACTAACAACACTAACACTAGCAACACTAACAACACTAACGGTGACAACAACAACAACACTAACAACAGCAACAACAACAACAACAACACTAAACAACAACAACAACACCAACACCAACACCAACAGCAACAACAGCAACAACAACAACAACAGCAACAACAACAACAACAACGACAACAACAACAATAACAACACTATCAACACAAACACAACCGCCAGCAACACCACCACCACCACCACCAACAACAACAACAACACTAACACAACACTAACAACACTAACAACACTAACAACACTAACAACACTAACAACAGCAACAACAACAGCAACAACAACAGCAACAACACGACCACCACCACCACCACCAACAACAACAACAACACCACCAACAACAACAACACCAACACCAACAACAGTAACAGTAACAACAAACAACTGTTGGAATGTCAGCCTTCAGCTCCAAAATCCTGCAAGTACTGTGAGGAATGTAGCTGTAAAATGTTGCACATACGGTGGAAATGCAGATTCCAGCTCAAAAATGCTGCAAAGAGCATGGAAAATGGACAGAACATGCTCATACTGTTGCAAATACCGTGGAAAATACAATGGAAAATGAGAGGTTCGAACTCAAAACCGTTGCGCATACCGTGGAAATGGCAGTTTCCAGCT